TTTAAAAAATTTAAACATTTTGGCTAATAAATGATATTTACCTAAACCCAAGTAGACTCATTGATTATAGGTAGGGTATGTATGACGTATATATGAGTTTGAAAGTTTGTAGATGGGTTTGGGTAGGGTATGGATATTTATTTTCATAATCTAAAAATGTGTATGAGTTGGGTATGAATACTCATTTATTCGAGGGTGTTTTAATTACACATACAAAAAATATACTTATTAATAAAACTTCAATAGTTAAGGTACTAAGATGTAATACATGAGTTGGGTTTGGATAGGGTATGGATATTTATTTTCATAATCTAAAAATGTGTATGAGTTGGGTATGAATACTCATTTATTCGATGGTGTTTTAATTACACATACAAAAAATATACTTATTAATAAAACTTCAATAGTTAAGGTGCTAAGATGTAATACAAAAAAAATTAGGTACTAAAATGTAATGTTCCATAAATATTTTGAGGACTTATATGCAAAAAAATAAATTTAGGTTATAAATCAAAAGATCTATTAAGTTTAGCTACCCAACTGTAACTTGCATAGTTTAGCCTTATTTCCTTTTATGGTGATGTATTTAAAATGATAATTATTTACTTTTTATAGAAAATAGAAAAAAAATATTTGATATGTATAACTGTTGAAAATTTCATGTATAATTGATGAAAATTCTAGCCCGGGTGAAAAAGAAAAACTCTAGAGAGAAGCAAAAGGAATACAAACTGGAACTCGCTTAAAATTTCATGCCTTCAAATCCCATAGTGGAAAATGACGACTTTCTAATAAGTAATAACCTTATATAATTGTTTTTAATTGGACTCAACATTGAGCTGAAAAAGTTAGTGGTTCAAGGTTCAATTATTAATTCTGTAGAGTGTTGTTCAGTCATGTATGGACTCGTTCATACTTGTGATTAGAATACATAAAAATGGTATACTCATTAGGGTTAGACGAAGAAGGCAAAGAAAGAAATAAATAATGGGTTATGGAAGGCGAGTGAAAAATGAAACGAAGGGGAAGTAGATGATGAAAAAGGTTTTGACCAATTCTTTTAGTTGGTCGTCAATGTAACAGTCAACCCTTTCCACCGTAGCAATTTATTAACACTTGCTTATGTAGATGTCACATATTTTGTTACATGTAATTAGTAGAAGTGTGTTTAGTACTCCGTAAATGTACTAAATGAGTTTATAAATTCGCTCTTGCAATATTTTAGAATCATCTCTCTTTTATCATATTTTTTAATGTTTCACGTTTGAGGGATACAACATCTTGTATGGTACAGACTAAATTTATACTTTTATATTATGGTGGTTTGGATCAAAAGGATTGATGGATTGGATTCATGGACTCAAATGAAATCTAAACATTGGACCAATAAGTGTAAAAGTAAAACATGTACATATGAAAATCTCATAAATTTAGATACCAAAACATAATTGTTCAATGATTTTAAATTAAAATTAAATTTGGGGTATCAAAATGTAAATTATACATTACAGTGACTAAGTTGTAAATGTATTAAATTTGGGGTATCAAAATGTAATAGTTTAGGCAACCATAACTAATATTCAACTTTATATATACTAACTAGACAACTATCCGCACTTTGTTGCGAACTTATGGTTAACATAATTGTCGGTTAATGATAGAATAGAGAAAATGAAATGTCCAAAACCCTTTATCTAATTTGAACGAACAAAAAATTAAAATTTCAATCCTAAAAAAGTTCAAAGGATATTCCAACAGCTCCAACCCACGAATAACACACAAATATAATTTCCTTATCTGAATATATTTCTTTATGACATTCACATCAATGACTGTTAATTAGGATCCAACGATTGACCTAGTGGCAATTGGGTTAAGGTTTTATAGGTTGAACCAGAAGTAGTGATAGCAATTTGAACTCGACTTACAGAGTAGATAATATATTATCTTACATTATCCGTGTTGAGTAGGACATATGTACTACTTCTGTCCCGTTCTTAACTCATTCTATCTTGATTTAGTTTGTCTAAATATTTAGTTGCTTTCTCCTATTTTTACTTATCTTAAATTATTTTTTCGCCCAATGATACTTTAGTTAAGTGAAAAACTTCATATTTCAACTAATTACACTCATTTAATCTACCTATTATCTCTCTTTTCTAATTATGAACTATTTTTCCATTATTTTTATCGTAAAAAATCAAGATTTTATTCAAATTACATATAAGAATGGGTTTGACCTGCCTAGACCTGTATAATGCGAGTATCACTCGACCTTGCTCGCATTTAATGTGGGGCAAATTTGGACATTGAGGTACCCCCGCCTCGTCCGCCTCAAACGTCATCACTAATCAGGAGCAACTCAATTTACCTGATTTTGAATAGGTATGTTATACAATGATTGAAATTTTAAATGAAATTTTGTGTGCATTTTATAAGGAATAGGTTTGTTATACAGTGATTGAAATTTTGAATGAAAAAATGATAATTTATTTTTAGTACTACATAATAAGTTTCACATTAGATAACATTAAAACTCACTCCAAAAATGAAAATATTAAAATTAAAATAAAATAAGACCCTAGGATCTAAATCAATTTTCTTAAATCAAGTAGGGAGAACATATGATAACAGAGTTTTTTTTCTTCATAAGAAGAGGAGGAAGTGCGTCGAGAGAAAACTATTTTTTATGGAAATTACAGTCTCCGATTATAGTCCATCGTGGTTGTTAAGTAAAATCCCACAAAAAGTTGAAGTGTATCGCAAGCCAATGAAAATGATTAATCACAACAAAATGAACTTTTTGGTCAAATTTTCAATGATACATATGTGTGCGGGGAGTTCTACGGTATCCAGGGTGAAATCCGGGGTACCGCATACCTTGAGTATGAAAATGCTATCTAGATCTTGAATTGACTGAACTTTCGGACATGATACTATACTCAACCCTTAAAGATCAAAATCTAGGTCTTAGTTCTCTAAATCTTATACCCCAAGATCAATTTAATTAGAAACAATAATCGACGGTTATGATTCGTCCAAATATAGGCAAAAAATGAATGCACCATCTGTTTATAGTTTATGATTTAGATAATTAGGACCTAGAGTTCACTCATTAAGGGTTAGGGTATAGTATTAGGCACAAAAATCCTGCAAATTCGAGGTCTAGATAGCGTTTTCATACTCATGTATGTAGTACCCCGGATTTCACCCGGGGTACCGTAGAAGCCACCATATATATATAAAGTTTAATAAAAATTCATGATCTATGATCAAAGGTTGGTTTATGGTTTACGTGAGAAAATGAGATTTATGGCTATGGGACATTAAAATAGTGCTACCAAAATCCATGTTACCTCAATAAGTTAATAGCTTTGGGAATAATATTAATTGGGGTGCTTCCATTAGCCTATAGGTTACTAAACTACATGACACTAGTGTACATTAGCAAAGCTATATAGGAAGTTAGGCAACAGTAACACTACTTAAGCTTTATATATATATATTATTTGGGGTATCAAAATGTAATAGTTTAGACAACAGGAACTTGCCTTCAACTTTATATATACTAATGGTACTTCACTCAAACACAAAACAGTACTTATGAAGGGCAACATTCATAGAGTAGAAGCTTTACGTCAGCCAATAAAGAGAAAATCATTTTTGCACAATTTTTCAATTCCAGTTTCAGTTGCAGGTAGGTAACCACAATACTAGCGATGGCATTCCAATAAAGTTTCTAGAGTTGTGACTAGTATTTAGCCCCTAGCTATTTCACTCCAATTTACAGGCTGGCCGTCTAGAACTGACGCTAACAATGTTTGCTCCAGTTCCAAGTCTTCCGCAGGTTGTTGGGCCTGCTGTTGTGGGTGCAATGAGTTCCCAGGCGTCGTTGAGTCCAGATAAACAACCTTGAACCCAGGGCGAGGGCGAGGGGATATTATCTGACTTGATGGAGCCACTTGAGCCGTAAGATAGTGAGAGCCCAGGGGACCTCCCGACGAGATGGGCGTTGTTCTTGTATTGTCGTGAATTGCTGATATTTTGCATGCTGCTGCTGCTGCTGCTGCTATCCTTGTCAAGGACACCGGGGAACTTCCCTCCAGTATACGGAAATGTGGCGAAGCAATGTTGTTACCACGAAGCACGGCCATTTCGAGTTCCTCTCGCTGTCTCTTTAAAGAGAGACGGTGCTTCTGTACAAAAAAAAAAATTCGCTTCAGTACTTAAACTGCATGTACAGAAAAATTAACAAGGATGTTCTGCTTCTGCAAGCTAGAATTTCTTTTTGGAGATGATAACCTAAACCTGTAAATGGCTTGAGATATTGGCTTTGTTCAGCTCTGGCACTTTCATGTATTCAAGTATCTTCTTTGGCCTGGCATCTATAAGTAGAGTTGAATCAGCTGCCCAGTAAAACCAAATAGAAATATGACAGCTTCAGTGTAAATATGCAGCAAGTGAATTCATACGATCAACTCCTAGTAGATCGACGGCATGAAGGAACTTGGCATGTAGCTCTGGAGTCCAGATCATCTTGGACCTCTTTGGCTGTGGCATATAGTAATCATCTTTATGATAACTGCTGCTTTCAGTCCATTCCACCTGTTTTCTCTTGCCGTCTCCGGTATTATTTTCATGGATAGGCTTCTCGGAACAGTTGCTCATTCTTCTTCCAAGCTTCTTCATGGAGCTTTGTCTCGTCATAAAAGACAACTGCCACAGGTTTTTTATGTCTTGCATAATGATAGGTTTGGGAACAAAAAATGCAGCCCCTTTGAATAGGCAGCCTAGCATCACATTCTCACTGCTGTCAGAGGATAATACTGCAACACCGCAGGAAACACAAATTGTTCAATTAAAATCATATGCCCGAGAAGATAAAACAAGATGATGGGGAGTCGTCTCGATGGACAATTCATTCATTCACTAACCCACAACTGGCAATGACGATATTTCCCTTATCGTCTCCAGAAGCTCATATTTGCCCATGTCAGGCAAGTGCAACTCGGTAAGGACAAGATCAATTTCACCTTGTTTGCCCTGGTTCTGGAGGATGTGGAGTGCCTCCTTGGCCAACTTAGCAGTTGTAACTGCCAAGTAAAAAGCACTACTTGGAATCAACATTAAGATACCAGTGACGCAAGTGATTGTACATTATCAAGGGCGAGAAGAAACCTAAACACAAGATCATCATCACAAATAAGAATACATATCATCACCACGTGGAAATGTTAGACCCAAGTACCCAACCTTTGCTTTGCTTGCTTGGTGATATATATTATCACTGCAAGAGAGGGTAGCAGAGTGAATTCCGGATGTGGGAATTCAACGTCCGAGACTTAAATTTGATGACATACTATCAAACAGATAAAAAAGAAATGTAGCTGATAGCAACGAAAGAAAAGGTGAGAAACTAGACTCGCAGAAAATCATGATGGCTTACCTGTATATCCAGAGGCACGAAGCATTTCTGAGACAATCGTCAAACACACAGAATCACAATCTAGTAACAAGATGCTGACACCTAAAGAACAATCCTCAGTAGTTTCGGATGAAAAATCATTCTCATTGTTCATGGTTGTAGTAATAAAAATTACAAAATTGTCGGAAAATATTGTTGGTTCAAGCTGATACTGGTTTCACAAACACAGTCCCTTGTACTGGGAGAAGAAGATAGATGCTTGCTCCATTAGATGTCACAAACACAGTCCCTTAGGCTGATTCAATAAAGATAGACAGTCTGCAGGAACAATTCCGTGCTATGAGATGGTGAAGGTTAATTTCAGAGCAGAAGGTCACCGGAATAGACCAATGAAATCAACAAACTGCAGGTGAGCAGACTGACTCTATACCTTCACACTGTTTTTCTTTTAAAGTCGAACAGTGTTGTTGTAAGAGTAAACCATTCAACAACTCTATCTTAATTAGTACATTGTTGAAGGCCTAAATTCATAGAGTCAAAGTCAAAAGCATAATTAACATTCAAAGTCTTAAACATGACTGCCATAAAAGAACTGACGGGAAGAGACCAGGTCATCCACGCAAGAATATTTGACAGTGCACCATAGTTAGCATTTATGCTTACCAAACATAACTAACTGGTGAGTGTTTAGCCCAGAGTCAAGTTCTGATGAGCTAATCTTCTGTTATTCACTGTTGAAGAAGAACTAAAGGAGAAAGATTGTCAGAGAAGAAGAATGTGTCTGAAGATCGTGATCAGCAGAAGGATTGAAGAAGGAGTTCTGGTTGCTGATGAAGAGAAATGCAGAGTTGCAGAACGAAGGAAGAAGACAGAGCAATACGGCAGCGTCTTGATTATTAGCCGTTTTATTTGTTTCCAGCTTATAACGCAGTGCCACGTGTAGGCCTACGTTTACTCTATTTAAATTACCGTTGTATGACGTTATTTACTGTGCTACTTTACTGAGTACAAAAGGCAGCAGGTGGATCACTTTCCCCTCTGCGATTCCAGCTCCAATTCATCGCCATTTCTAAATCTCTCTCTCTTTCTTCTCTCGACTGCTAACCCTAGCAGCTCTACAAACGTTTTATGGTATCAGAGCGGTTCTAGTCCGTTTCTTCCGCGTTAATCATGGCTCAAACGCCTTCACCTCAACCTCGTTTTGGTTCGTTCGATTCAGCAGGCTCTGGTGGTTCTGGGGCAACAGGAGATCCAACCAACAATCAACAACAGCAGCAACAACCTGGTAACAACAATCCTGGTCCAATGTTTGGTAGTCCATACTATATCAACCCAAGTGAGAATCTGGGTCAATCGATTGTTTCAGAAGTGCTTGATGGAACCAATTATCAGGTCTGGCAGCGTGCTGTGTGTATGGCTCTCAAAACCAAACATAAGTTAGGTTTTATTGATGGATCTCTTCCTATGCCACCTAGAGACCATGCTGATTTCATTCTATGGGATGCATCTAATACTGTTGTTCTGTGCTGGCTGCTGAATTCTGTTCATAAGGACATTAGTAGATCTGTTTTGCAACATGATATTGCTAAGAATGTCTGGGATGAACTAAAACGAAGATTTGGCAAATCTAATGCACCAAAGCTAGCTAATCTGCAAGAAGACATGAATAGGTGCAAGCAGGGTACTCTCAATGTTACACAGTACTATATTGCGTTGAAAGGTCTTTGGGAAGAGTATCAGCAGTATTCTCCTATTGTGGATTGTGACTGTGTAGTGCAGAGGATAAGACCCTGTGCAGCTGTTGAGTCTTTCAAGGAACGACTCAACACTGAATTTCTGATTAAATTTCTTCGTGGCTTAAGACCTGAATATGAGATGGTTCATACCCAGCTGTTGATGATGAAACCATTGCCTACTATTGATGCTGCTCTTGATGATGTTCTCCAACATGAGCAGAAATTGAAAGGTGATAAAGGTGGTAGTGCCAGAGGGGTTCAATCTGTTGCCCTTGCAGTTCCAGGGGACAAGGGAAAGGTGTCTGGTGTTGGTAATCAGTCCAAAGACAGCAGATCTGAATATGATGGTGAAAGGAAGTTCTGCAGATACTGCAAAAAGGATGGCCATGTTAAAGAAGAGTGCTATCGGCTGAAGAACAAGAAAGCCAGAATGGGTGAAGGAGGCAATGCATTTGCTGGTTCAGTTTCACAATCACCCTCACAGAGTAGTGATTCTGGTTCTTCAGCCAGTGGGCATTCCATGGAGAAGTCTCAATCCTCCAGCTCACTTAGCCTCACTGATGATGAACTTGTCAAGCTCAAGTTCCTTCTGCAGCAGTCTGATAGCATGAGTCCCTCTCCACCTCTCTCACCATCAATCAAACATGCTGCATACTCAGTCTCTCAGCACTTACCATCACTGCCTAATTTCTCTGGTAAATATGTTCTCACTTCTCATCTAGAACAAGGTCTTCTAGCTTTAGCACAGAACTGGATATTGGATACTGGTGCTTCTGATCATATAGCATGCACCTTGTCTTTCTTCCTTAATGCCATCCCTGTTTTGAATCAATTTGTTTATTTGCCAACTGGTTCAAAGGTCCCAGTCAGCCACATTGGTTCAGTAAAACTTTTTTCAGGACTTGTTTTGCACAATGTCCTGCTTGTTCCTTCTTTCACCTTCAACCTAGTCTCTGTCAGTAAACTTACCAATGACCTTCCCATTTCTTTACACTTTGAATCTGACTCTTGTCATATTCAGGACCTCTTAACAAAGAACCAGATTGGTTTGGCAAGACAGACTAGAGGACTCTATCAACTCCTTCCTACACCAAGCCTTCCTTCTCTTCCTCAAGTAGCAGCCACCTACAATTTCCAGCCTCATTCCTTTGAGCTTTGGCATTGGAGACTAGGCCACCCCAGTCAAGCTAGAGAACAAAGAATCCTTGGTTGTAATAGGAGTCCAGTTATTCATTGTTCTACCTGTCATTTGTCAAAACAGAAAAAGCTTCCTTTTCCCATTAGTGACAGTAGAGCAAACTCAGCTTTTGATTTAATTCACGTTGACATTTGGGGACCTCTTGCTGTGAAGTCCCATGATGGATTTTCTTATTTCCTTACATTGGTTGATGATCATACTCGAAGTGTTTGGGCTTATTTGATGAAGCATAAGTCAGAAACTAGTGAACTTTTACAGCATTTCTGTGTGATGGTGCATAAGCAGTTTGACAAAGCAGTTAAGGCCATTAGAAGTGACCAGGGCAATGAATTCCACATGCTGGATTTTTATGCACAACATGGCATTGAACATCAAACCTCTTGTGTAGAAACCCCTGAACAGAATGCACGCGTTGAAAGAAAGCACCAGCATATACTTAATGTAGCTAGAGCACTTCGTTTTCAATCTAACCTACCTCTTTCTTTCTGGAGTGACTGCATCACACATGCAGTTTACTTGATCAATCGACTTCCATCACCAGTCACCAGCAATGTTTCCCCTTTTGAGCTCCTCTATCAAAAACCTCCCTCACTTAGTCACCTCAAAGTATTTGGCTGTCTTTGTTATGCCTCAACTTTGCTTCGAGATAGGACTAAGTTTGATTCACGTGCTAGGCAGTGCATTTTCCTTGGCTATCCACCTAGCACTAAAGGGTACAAGCTCTTTGATTTAAACACTCACCAATATTTTGTTTCACGGAATGTGGTCTTCTATGAACACATTTTACCCTACAAACCTTCCTCTTCTTTCTCTCCTTCTACAACTGATCCAATTGCAGTCCCTGATCCCATTTTTCCTATCACCACACCATTACCTCCTGATTCCTCTTTCTCTTCTTTCCCTGCTTCTTCTTCTCAGAATGCCCCCTTTTCTTCTTCTGAACCTAGCTCTAGCACTGAGATGCTTGATTTGGACAGTGTGCATTCTGATGGGGGAGATGAGCCTGAATTATGTGGTCAAGAAGAGATTGAGGAAGGCCAGGCAGCAAATGAATTGAGGAAATCTGATAGAGCCAAACAGATTCCAGTTTGGCACAAAGATTATGTGTTCTCTGGTACTGTCAGTAAGCACTCTATGCAGCATGTTTTGTCCTTTGATCAACTTCCTCAAGCCCATAAGTCATATGTGTTAAATGTGATGAGTGCTATTGAACCAAGAACTTATGAGGAGGCATGTAAGGAGCTGTGCTGGAGAAATGCCATGACTGCTGAATCAGAAGCACTTGATGCTAATCAAACATGGGATCTGGTCATTCCTCCACCAGGTGTGAGACCAATTGGATCAAAATGGGTATACAAAATTAAGCATAGATCAGATGGAACAATTGAGAGGCACAAGGCAAGGGTTGTTGCTAAGGGGTTCACTCAGATTTATGGTATAGATTTTTTGGATACCTTTTCACCTGTTGCTAAGATAAACTCAGTAAAAGCATTACTTGCAGTAGTTGCTTCTAAGGATTGGCACATACATCAAATGGATGTGTCCAATGCCTTTTTACATGGTGATTTAAATGAAGATGTTTATATGAAGGTGCCCCCTGGAATTCCAGTCCCTGATAAGAGGATGGTATGCAAGTTAAAAAAATCCTTGTATGGATTAAAGCAAGCTAGCAGGCAATGGTTTGCCAAGCTAACTGCTTCATTACTGAAGAATGGGTTCTCACAGGCTGCTGCTGATTATTCCATGTTTGTTAAAAGGGTCCAAGGGAGAATGCTTGTTGTGTTAGTGTATGTTGATGATATTTTGATTGCAGGAAGTCACCTGGGAGATGTTGAACAGGTTAAGCTTTATCTAGGAAGGGAATTTAAGGTTAAAGACCTTGGTCAATTGAAGTTCTTCCTAGGTTTGGAAATATACAGAGATCACAGAGGCATTTTTGTCAATCAGAGGAAATATTGTGTGGATCTTTTAGAAGATGTGGGATATGTTGAAGCCAAAGACTGCCTTTCTCCAGTTGATTACAAAGTTAAGTTATCTGCCAAACAAGGTGAGCCTTTGCCTAATCCTGAGGTGTATAAAAGACTCATTGGCAGACTTCATTATCTGACCATTACAAGGCCAGATTTGACCTATGCTGTACAGCAGCTTTGCCAGTTCCAGAAAGACCCTTACACTGAACATCTTCAAGCTGCTTTCAGAGTGTTGAGATATTTGAAGCATGCTCCAGGCCAGGGTTTGTTGTTTAAAGCAGGAACCAAGTTGGAGTTACAAGGGTTTTCAGATTCTGATTGGGCAAGTTGTGTTGACACAAGAAGGTCAGTGACTGGTTATTGCACTATGCTTGGTGAATGTTTGCTGTCTTGGAAGTCAAAGAAGCAAACTACAGTTTCAAGATCTTCCTCTGAAGCCGAGTACAGAGCATTAGCTAAGTTGGTGTGTGAACTTCAATGGATCAGGAGTCTCTTGGCAGAAATGGGAGTCAGTATACCTTTACCAATCGAAGTTTTCTGTGATAACAAGTCAGCCATTCATATTGCTGAAAATCCAGTTTTTCATGAGAGGACTAAGCATATTGAAATTGATTGTCACATCACTAGGGAAAGGTTGAAGTCTGGCATGATCAAGTTAAGCCATGTGAGAACTGATGATCAATTGGCTGATCTGTTCACTAAGGGAGTTACACGTTACAGGCTTTCTTATTTGCTTAGCAAGTTGGGAGTTACAGACATGTACTCGCCAACTTGTGGGGGAGTGTCAGAGAAGAAGAATGTGTCTGAAGATCGTGATCAGCAGAAGGATTGAAGAAGGAGTTCTGGTTGCTGATGAAGAGAAATGCAGAGTTGCAGAACGAAGGAAGAAGACAGAGCAATACGGCAGCGTCTTGATTATTAGCCGTTTTATTTGTTTCCAGCTTATAACGCAGTGCCACGTGTAGGCCTACGTTTACTCTATTTAAATTACCGTTGTATGACGTTATTTACTGTGCTACTTTACTGAGTACAAAAGGCAGCAGGTGGATCACTTTCCCCTCTGCGATTCCAGCTCCAATTCATCGCCATTTCTAAATCTCTCTCTCTTTCTTCTCTCGACTGCTAACCCTAGCAGCTCTACAAACGTTTTAAAGATAGTGCCCATTGCCAAAGAAAGACATGTAGTGATTGAGTATATGGCTTTAAATTGCAGTAGTAGACCAAACCTAATGTTATTTATAAATTACAAACGGACAACTACACTTTACACCATGGAGGAGGCCACTCTACTCCATTGCTCACAAAAAGCCCCTTAAGCTACGCTACCCTAGAGTCGGGTGAAATGTTAATTCTCAGCTTTATCTACATTCAAAAATGTCATTCTGAGACTAAAAAGCTAAAAGCAGCTTTACATTACAGCTTTTGATATCAAATGACGTACTACTTGAACAGAAGGTGGCGTCTAACTGACTTTGGAAGAGGTGATGTCGAGGTGCACATGATTTCCTTGTCTTGAGTTTCAGAATGAAAGGCTCCTTCAGTGACTTGCACTTTGCTCGATCGATAAAATTCAGTAATAGAAAGTTGGACGCCTCTTGACTGCAGGTTTCTCGACTTATTACCAGCTCCTCCAGATCTTGATCGCTTTCTCTTGGATTCTTTAAGTTCCTGCCATTTTTCAGTAGAAAACAACCCGTTAAGAAGTCCAAAGAATCCAGATGCAACACATCGTACAATCCAAAGACCCGACAACCTGGTTTTTATTTTCTACTACATGGCCTGACAATGTTAAATTATTGAACTCGAGACAATTATATGCCCCTATCTCATAGACAAGTGGATATACATGTGCAGAAGTACCCCAACTAAAAGGTTATTGATGCAATTCGATCCTGACTTTTTAGTCTATTATGAAAACACCCTGCCACTAAGCCTTGCAAGCATCCAGAGCCAGTGGTTGACACTCAGAAAGTGACAGTACAACATTAGACTAGGTTAATAAAGAAATTACAAATTGGCTTGGACCAAATAAAAGTAAAAGAATCAAACCTTTTCCAATAAGAATATACTAACTTCGTCTGGAAATGCAGCACGGACAAGTTTCATATGTTCATCAGTTAGCACAAACTGACCCTCATTATCAACATGAACCCCGGTTTCTTCCCATCGATCTGAGCCATCAAAACTCTCATCAACATTCTCCACAATCTTATCTTGCTCTTTATCATCAATAAGATTCAAATTGCGGCCACTGCCAATTAAGGTTCCTCCTTTCCTCCACTTCACGACATAAGCTTCATGTCCGTACCTGATCTTTGTGCGCTGAATTGAATCAAATTCATATTGCCCATTCAACAAGGACTTCTCTCTCTGTTGTGCCATTTCTCTCAGGTATATGGTGGACAGCATAGGAAGTAACCTCTGTCTAACATAAGAGGGCTCCCAATGCTGTCGAAACACCAAAAGGTCAACCAACATGTCAGTTTCAGGGTGTTGCCATGAAATGCAGGAACCACCATCTGGTTTACACAAGAAAAAAGTATCTCCAAGGTTACAACAATAGTCAAGCTAGGACTTGATAGTTTACATCCCCATTTAACATCAATGGGAAAGGTAAGCGAAGGTTCATAAGCTATGGAAAAAAGCATAATTCTTATCCTTCATAGTGCACTGAAACAGGGTGATAAAGTAACATAAAAATATAAAAGTCTACATAGATCACAAAATCATATCTCGAAAGGCTTCACAAAGAAATCTGTTCTGAGAGTCATGAAGGGATTGTGGAAGGAGAACAAACAATCTTTGTTTTGATCAGAAGGTTTACCAGTGATCTTTCCATTATCATTGCACAAATACATCTCCATTATTTCATCATTTGGGAAATTCTGCTCCCTGGCAATCTTCTCACAAACTTTCGTGTACCAGTTTTCATGCCTTTTCAGCTGTCTTGCCTCTCTCTCCTGCCAAGTCAAAGTTCACATGTGATCCTATGCCCACACGGATTTGATGCATATTAGATATCGCCTTAAAAAACAAGCGATGATAAAGCAACATGAACAAAATGGTCAAACATACTCTATCACAACATGTGCAATTGCACCTAAATCCATTTGGCTTTTTCATGCAACCATCTCCACCACTGGGATGACAATCAACACAAGATGACTTTGAATGTGCTCTCTTGCTGCCAGGATGACCACAAACTGAGCAGTGAGCAGGTCTTGACTTTAGTGAGCTGTCATCGGCAAGAAGTATGGGACTGGCTACAACTTTTGGACCACCCTGAGGAAAAGGGGTATTCCCACTGCCAATCTCACGCAATCTACAGAGTGAAAGAAGCTATGCATAAGGAAATCTAGTATTTAACACAAAATGAGGAATTGAGCTTGGAGGAATAAAGAAAATATGACATTTGGAAGTGGCCAGTATCTTACTTATCTAAGATCTCTTCTTCACCAAAACTTTGAACAAACTGAAGAGCATTATCGATGCCAATCCCTTGAACTCCACTAAGATCATGGTCATTTCCAACCAAGAGAGAAATGGCTATTAGATGTTCCCTCTTTAACCCAAGACCAACTTCAATATCTGACATACGATAGCATTCAAATGGCTCCTGCAGAAAGATGTCAATATTAAAAAGTTTTCTAGCTGTTGCACAGAATTGTTTGTCATATACATCATTAAAATTCCAAAAATGAAAGAAATTACTAAAACTCACTTTAGAATTGGGTTTGATGGACTTTATCACGCACTGGGCACCAAAGAGGAAAGCATCACTATCAGCAGTTATACAGGCATCTACATGACCCTCCCTATTCAGCTGAGCACACAACGCTTCAGCCTCACCGTTGGCCTGAAGAACCGGCATCCCAAAGAGTTCAATCAATTCCTAGAGAAAGCCCCAAGTTCAATATCGTAAGCAAGCAAACAAACAAAACTACAGCAAGACAGAAGACAAAAGGGGAAGCAGGTAAAGAAAATCGAAGTTAGAAGAACTCACAATGCACTCCCGAACACACTTCAAAAACGCTCCGTTTCTCTCCACGGAGGCACCTTCTTCAGCCACCGGCCGACGGGCAGCATCAATTCCCGAGCACCTGAAGAATCGGGCCATCCTCGCCTGAGACTTCAACGGCGAAGGAGTCCCGTCGGCAACAAACACCGGGAAAGCGCCAAACTGCAATGTACCCACAATTTTCAACTGAAAATGAGAAACCCCCGTATAAAGCCATAGGGAGAAGGAACACGAAAAGAGGAGAGACCTTAGAGAACAGGTTGATGGTCCGGAAGAAAGTAAGGCGGAGGTGAGGGTTGAGGACGTAGGTCTTGATGGCGGTCTCGTTTTGGACGATCCAGTAAGAAAGATCGACAGCGACCCATTTGTCCCTCAGGAAATCAGGGTCTTCGTACCTGGCGTAGGGGCTTGAGCAAGTCCCAGAACTTGCCTCCCACGCCCATTTTTGAAACCCGCTCGCCTCTGGTTTACCCTTCCCAGTGAAAAAAAAAATAAAAAAAAGACGCGGCAGAGAAAGAAGAGAAGAGTGACGAAAGTTTGGGAAAAATCCAAAATACTCTAATTATTAAAAATAATTCCCTAAATACAGTACTTATAAACTTATTTCCTAAAATACAGCAGTTTCAACATCACTGTTGTAGACCAAGACAGTGATTGCAATCACCGCTTTTGTTTAAAACGGTGAGAGCATCACCACTTTTAACAACAACAGTGATGCTATCACCGTTTTGGACAAAAACGGTGATGCAATCCCCGCTCTTGTTAAAAGCGGTAACTGTCTGACCGTTGATTTGAGAAACGGTGAAGCCACTATCACCGTTGATGGGGAAAACGGTGAAGTGGGCGCGGATCGCTGACGTGGTCGTGCGCGGGCACTTCACCGCCAAAGAGAAAAGCAGTGATAGCCCCGCCCCCGCCACGTCATCAATCCGCGTCGTCCGCGCCCTTCACCGCTGCCGTTCGATGAGGTGAGGCGCGGATTGTGGTTTTTCTCCACGATCCGACGCCTCAGGCGTCGCCACGTCAGCCATCCGCGCATCACTGCCTTCTTAAATGGCGGTGAATTCACTGCTTTCGACGAAAGCGGTGATTGGCTGAGTGAAATTTCCAGCGCCCCCTTCCCCCTATAAATACCACTCCCCCCCCCCCCCTCCCCCCCCTCATTCCAAACCACACCACCATTTTATACTTCTTTCTCCCTCCATTACTTCACTCTAGTTTCGTTCTAAGTATGCTTTGTGGTTGCGGCTAAGTCCGATCTTCCGCATCAGAAAGAATTACTAGAGTTTTTGTTTTGTCGATACTCTCGCTAGCTTTTCGGCAAAAAATGGACGAAGAGGCTTTGAGAGTACGTAAATTAATTTTATTCTTTTGTGATTTTTTTTACATGGGTGCTAAAATTTAAATTGATTTGATTTAATATTTTTTTATAGATGGGTGCTGAGATATACGAACCTCGATTGTATATCGATCCTGGCCCAAGGGATCGAAGATATTTAACTGGGCAAGATCAACATCGCTCCCGTTCAATTTGGAACAATAATCCAGTAGACACACTAAAATTATTTCAATAGTTTTAAAGTTTTTATTTTGCTTTCTATTGACTGACAATATTGTGTTTTTTGTTTTGTAGGAATCACTTATTCCCATCAGTTATCGAGGGACATGTCGATTGCCCCGTTGGCATCCTCGACTGGATGCCTATCTAGAGAGGACGGGATTGCACATGTTGAGGCACTTTATGAGGCTTGATATTGACAACGATCTGCTGACGGCAATGGCAGAGCGATGGCGCCCTGAGCTGCATACCTTCCACTTTCCCGAGGGTGAAATGACGATCACCCTCAAAAATGTTGCCATCCTCACCAGGCTCCCGATCACCGGAGATGCCATCATCGACAACTCGAGAAAACCGGATGATGGTTGGGGGCCATTGATTCAACAACATTTGGGGTTCAACATGCCGACCACCACGCCCGTCGAAGGGGCTGGGCATCCACCACTGAATGCGGGGCAAGTATCGATCCCGTGGCTTGTTGACCACATCCAGTTGGAGGTTAATATAGGCCCGGACACTCCTGGAGATCAGGTGGAGCGGTATGCACGTGTCTACCTAATTGGCTTGGTTGGTGGGTTTCTGTTCCCCGACAAGTCAAACCGGTGGATACAAGCATGTGGTTACCTATGCTCCTCGGTGACTGGGACGAGATCGGGAATAAAAGTTGGGGGTCGGCCGTCTTGGCTGGGATCTACCGAGAGTTGTGTACTTGCTCGAGGTTGGGAGCGAAACAAGCTGGTGGTGCGATGTTCATACTCCAGCTCTGGGCATGGGAGCATCTTCTGTTTCTCGCACCTCGAGACCCTCGGGAATTCTGGTTGCCAGATGATGAGCTACGATTTGTAGCAAATCCCCCATATGGTTTCAAGTAAGTTCAATTTAAGTTGAATTTATTTTAGATATGCAATGGTAGCTAGTTAGGTGGATTTAGATCTATTCCAAGTAAGCGAATTTAGTGACATTTTAAGTATGCAATTATAGTATTTTAGTGAACTTAGCTATCTTCCAAGTAAGCGAATTTAGTGACATTTTAAGTATGCAATTATAGTATTTTAGTGAACTTAGCTATCTTCCAACTAAGCGAATTTAGAGACATTTTAAGTCTGCAATTATAGTATTTTAGTGAATTTAGATATCTTCCAAGTAAGCGAATTTAGATTTATTCTAACCAAATCGTATTTAGCTAATTTAGATTATTGCCAAGTAAGAAATTTTAGTTCAATTTAGATGCTTCCATACAATCATACTTAACAAGTAAACATCTATGTTTTAAAAATTGCTTATATACGTACTTTTACTTAATTAGGTGGATTGGAGCAAATACAAAAGACCACCAACCCGAGCACTCTTTACTGTTTTATCGTGCTGAATTTGATAAGCCTTGGTGGAACCAGGTAAAAATATAAAATTTCATGATTTTCAATTTTTTAGGTGGAGTGGATATAATTTTTACTAATTCCATGAATTATAATGATTGTAGGCGGTATGGGATCCATATCCAAATGAAGTGGTTGAGTTGCATCGTCTTAGACATCCCGAGGGTCAAGAGACATGGTTGTGCAAGGTGCCCTTAATCTGCTGGCACATGGTGGAATGGCACCTGCCCGATCGATCTTTGAGGCAATATCGATTGGAGCAACCAATTCCAGCATCCCCACCTCAAGGGTTCAGGGAGCTCCACGCCATTGACCTACGCTACACCAAAAAGGATTGGACCCGCAAGCATGAATTCTACATCAACATATGGGAGAATAGAAATCAGTGGATGGTCCAAGGGGTGCCAGAGACGAGGCCAATGGGGTACCACGATGGCTACATGCGGTGGTATCGGAACTTCACGCTAAGATGGGTGTCAAAGCAAGGTGCTGTTTGGGGCGCAGTGGTAAGTGAATTCCATTTTGGCCTCTTTGTTTTAACTTTTGTAGTATGATTACATGCCTATATTAGCTAGAATGTTAATTAACATTATTAGATTTGAGGATCATTATTAGATTTAATGTTAGTTAATTTTGTACAACAATTTATTAGGTTGACGGTTTAGAACATGCCAAGCACACTGTCGAGAGTGCACCCACCATGGATGAGCGGAAGACATCTTTTTTGCGCAGGATTTTCAACAACCTGCTCTCTTGTACCCGAGAGCAAAGGAGGGATGTCGTATTATACCCTCCAATGCCTGCTTCGGCCCGACCTTCATTTCGTGCTGATGAGAGGATCGTGCCCCCACAAGAGCCCCCACGGAGGAGCAGAAGAAGGGTGAGAGAACACATTGAAGAGCTTCGTCCGTCTCAACAAACTCAACTTCCTGAACCATGGCCACATTGTGAGTGGGCTACTAGTACTGAGGGCACCGGAGGGTCGTCAAGCTATGCCCCGACTCAGGAACATGACATGTTCACCCAAGGCACCCCTCACTTCCACCATCAGCAACAAACTACTCATTATCAGACCCCGCAACAACAACATACATCATCGACTTTCTACCACGCTTCTGGTCCATCTCAGCCACCTCCACCCCCACCACCTGTCTACACTCCGGTGGGTGGTCGGGTTAAGAGGAATCCGCGAGCAGTTGTCTAGCGGGCTCGTGAAGAAGGAGGAGGTAGAGAGGGCGGAAGAAGGGGCCGAGGAGTTCGTGGAGGAAGAGGAAGAGGAAGAGAAGAGGAAGTGGAGGGAAATGAAGACAACCAGTGAACTATCTATGTCGTTCTAATTTAGTTTGGTCTTGTGTTGTTTTCCATGAACTATCTATGTCGTCTAAATTTGGTTTCGGATTTTGTTGTTTTCCATGAACTACCTATGTCGTCTAAATTTAGTTTGGTCTTGTGTTGTTTTCCATGAACTATCTATGTCGTCTAAATTTGGTTTCGGATTGTGTTGTTTTCCATGCACTACCTATGTCGTCTAAATTTGGTTTGGGATTGTGTTGTTTTCCATGAACTATCTATGTCGTCTAAATTTGGTTTGGGTTTGTTTTGTTTTACCCCCCATGTTGTACCAAAATAAATAACAAACGCCCTATATTACAATCACTCAACAAGATTAAAACAAAGAAGTTCAACTTAAACATCACAACAACGAAAATGACAAGGAAGTGAACAACAGCAGCATCAAGGTTGGTTCGGAATTGGCCCCGAATCTTGCTCTAGAGGTGGACCTGGGCAACGCTTCTTGTCATGACCCGGTTGTTTGCACTTTGAGCAACGCTTTGGACCCCGTCGGGCACGTTGTGATTGATCCATTTCATTGTGAATCCTTTTCGGTCCTAGGACGACCTTTGGTGCGCTTTAAGTGCAACAGTGGGATAATCAACTTCCCATTGTCTACAGGCCAATAAGCTTCATCCGGCAAGGGGCTGAAACTTGACGAGTAGGAGTTCATGATCGCCTGTTCCGTGTAGTAAGGACTAACCAAACTGTAAGTGCTGAGGGTTATCGACTTAGCTACTGCCATTGCATGTGAACAAGGTACTCTTCTGTTTTGATACTTTTGGCATGTACACTCTCCGGTGCGAGTTTCTACGTGTAGAGTAACGGATTGACGATTATGCCCACGTCTTCCTCCACCCCAAATACCTGTTTGCACAGCAAAAATACCTTCATTGCGGTTGAACAGAATAACTCTGTGCTTACTTGATTTCTCTTCGATCTTCTGCATGCCATCAAATATATGATGTGCTATTGAATGACCAGCACGCTCCCTCCCTATAGCAGCATCCCGTCTCTTCACTAACCACTCGTTTACCTTCCAATATGTCATCTCCACTAGGACAGATACAGGCATTGGCTTAATGCCCTTGTAGACTCCATTTATGCTCTCGCCATGGTTGGTAGTTGCAATTCCGAATCTAGCCCCGTTGTCCATGTGAAATGTCCACATGTGCAGATCTTGACCTTCTGCCCATATTGCTCCCGCCCGGTGTATTTGACGGA